AGAGAGAGAGAGAGAGAGAGAGAGAGAGAGAGAGAAGCAAAATACATTCATCCTCTCACTAAGTCTGATAATATCATTATTTATCAATACATTCAGTATACAGAGCGAAAATGCGTATATGGGTTTTTTTCTCTTTCCGTTTTGTAAATTATTTCTGCACACCACGGGGCTTCTTCAAGCGTTGAACTGCCATTGTTGAGTGATGGCAATTTGGTCGTAACGCCACACTCCCTCTCCGCCCCCCCCCCCTTTCTTTCTCTGCCTGAAACACACACTTCTGTCTGTCGGTCTGTCTGTCTGTCAGTCTGTCAGTCTGTCTGTCTGTCTGTCTGTCTGTCTGGCTGTGTGTCAGTCTGTCTGTCTATTTATCTATCTATTTATCTATCTATCTATCTATATATCTGTCTATCTATCTATCTATATATCTATCTCGTAACACATTTCCTCGAAATGGAAACAGTAAATGTCCAAAATGAAAAACTTTTTTTTTTTTAAATTGAGAGAGCAAATAACAAAACTCACTTCTGCCCGGTCCTCCCCCAGCTCTTCCTCCTGGTCGTCTGTGACTGGCAGCACCACGTGGCAGCAGACGTGGCTGTACGTGAACCCAGGCAGTCACAACCTGTACCACTCTGACCCCACGGTGACCTTTATGGCTCTGGCTACGGGGACAGAGCAATACAACAGCTACGCCTTCATAGCCGGGACAAGGATGGCTCAGATCAACACTGTGAGTTCAGTGTCTTCTACCTCACAGGGATTGTTTTTCTCCGTTAAATTCTTTGAGGACGGGCAATTTGGTCTTTCAATAACGCTTGAAGACGCATTGTTTAGGGGCACTTCAAGACGAAGCATAATACATTCGTTATTCATACAGATTTTTAAGTTCGAATTTCTTTATCGTAAACGCAGAAAGGCGATCTGTAACACGCACACTATGAAATATTATGCGAATCCGTATTTCTGATTTGTGCAATATGTGTCATGACTTGATGGAATTTGGCGCTTGTCACGTTGTCTGAAAAGCTTGTTCAATTGTCTTGCTTTGAGTGGAAAAAATACCCATCTATCTTGAAAAGAAGTGGAAATATTTGTGTTTGAAGGAGGCGGGGGGTCGTCTGGTCCAAGAGATGAAATTAGCGAGGAAATGGCAGCCAAAGTTTGTTTACTTCTAAAGCTTCGGTGTCCGTGGACACTTTAAATTTACACATTGTTTTGTACCTTTAATTAACGGGTTTCTTTATACAAAGTCCACACAGAAATGTGTTGAGCCAAATACCCCCTCCCCCCTCCCCTTCTCTCCTCAACAAAAAATAGAATAAATGTTGCTCACCACTCTGAAAAAATGCCGGTTTCATTGATGTCATTGTTTAGGCGAGAGCCTGATTTCAGCACTCTACCTCACATAAAGTTTGAAAATTTTCACAACATTGCCTTCGGTCTGCTGTTGGACATAATGTATGTGCCCGGTTCGTCTTTAGAAAGTTATTTCTGTGAGGACGTAACCAACGCATGTGCGTTCAGAAACAGAGCAGAGGTAATATTCAGACACATTTTGAACTATCATACAAAAATCACAAACACATAATAATAATACACCGAGTTGCAAAAGTTCTGTCACACCCACCTTAAAAGTACAATAACTCATTCACTACTCAACATAGCCAAGAGAAATTTGGTACACGCGATCTTTATCCATGTTCTGCCAACATGACATAAAAAGAATGGACAAATGTCTTTCCTTATTCAAGGGAGATAATTTCATTCACTCTGACTCTTGCAAAATTCAAATCAAAGTTTGCTCAGTATGGCGTGTGGCCTCTTCCAGCTTGAATTACTAATACAAAACATCTTTTCATTGACTGAATTGAAGTCCTTTTGGTTGTCTGAAGAATCTCCTGCCATTTCTTGTGTAGTACAGCCTTCAGTTCCTGACCAGTTTGTACGGAGTGCGGCCTGTTTCTAATCCTCCAATCAAGGTCATCTTACAGATGTTCTGTTGGGTTAAGGCTTGTGGATCTTGTAGGCCAGTCCAGAACAACGATTTGATGTGTTTAGAAGAAGTTTTCATTGATCGTAACCATTTGTGGTCTAGCGTTGTCTTGTTAGCAGATTCCATCATCCGTGCCATGTAGCGTAGTCACCGTGATAAAGAATTTCGTCACAATAATGTCGTTATTTGAGGTTGCTTTGAAAAGGTACTAAATGTATACGATAATAAGCAGAGATTCCACCCCCTACCATCACATTTCAGCCTCCTTCGGGCCTCTTCGGGGACGTTGGATGTGAAATGTCTATTCCCTTCTTTCTTCTCTTCCATCAATGCGACGAATTAAAAACCTTAACCATTGCTGAAAAGAACACTTTACCAACGTCTTTAGTTTAATCGACAATGTTGTTGAGCCAAAATTTTACGATTTCTTCCATGAAACAGTGTTAGAATGGCTCCATGTAAAGGGCGATAATCACGTAATCCACGATCTTATAAATGTCTAATAATGATGTTTCAAGACAGTCCGAAGTGACTGGCAGTCTCTGCACTAAGTTGGAATGGGTTTTGAACTTGGGTGTTGACAATAACCCAATTTTGGTGTCGAGTTGTCGCCCTTGGTTGGCTACGTCTCGGCTTGTCGTGGCCAGTTCGAGTGGTGTTAAAACGTTTGTTCAAGCGTTAGATGGTACTTCTGCAAACATTTACGTGTCTTGCAAAAGCAGAAAGCGCAATTAAAGAATGTATCATACATACAGCCTCTTTATTATCTGAATTTATCATTTTTGAAATTTTGAAAACAGGAGAAAAAGGTACCCAACGGTTAAAACGTACTGAATTTTATTGTGTGTAAGGTGTGTTTACACATCGTCTACGTGATTCAAAGCAAATTTAGTGTGTAGGAACCGTTGTTTTCAACACAGACAGAGAGAAATCAATACCAATACTTTGTCCACGTACTACTTCCGGTTTATGATTTCTTTTTGGTCTGCTCTTGCACAAGAAGTCTCATACGTCCCACAAGACATACTTTTAACTTTTACTGCAATTCTTACGCTATACCGACAATTATAGTAATGTAATGGGTGTGACAGAACTTTTGCAACTCGGTGTATTATTCCTCAGTTGTGTCCATGGGAAAGACGCTTTTCGCGAATTTCCCGTTTGGCTCGGTCTTTTAAGAGATGGACGTTAACCTTGGAGATCCCTCCTCTCAATTAATCTAATAGTGTTTATAGGGGCGTTAGACCTACACCATTTCACCATTTTTGTCCTTCTTATGCGCACAAAGTATTATTCCCCACCATAACTATTGCATCTTTATAATATTGTCATTGTCTAGAGCTTAATCGGCTGCTCGCACTGTATGCTTCCCGGGAAGCTGAGAATGTTTCGGAGTGTTCTATGGTCTGCTGGGGTAATAATATAGTGTAAAGCGCATAGAGCCTACTGTTGAGCGGGAATATGCGCTAAACAAATGCTATCTATTATTATTATTATTTAGGTGTGTGTTCCCACATCTCCCACGCCGGGTGACACAGTGGATAACGACTGTGATGGCAGGATAGACGAAGAGGCGCTCAACAGCTTGGGTAAGGAAGAAAAAAAACAGCAACCCAAAACAGCAGTATAATACAAGTTTTAAAATACGCATGTATACGTTAGATACTTCTGTTTATGTTGTGGTTCTCCTGGTTGAAATGTATTTGTCTAAATTCGAATTTGCTGCAAAATCATGAACAAAAATACACCTGGAATACCGCTTGGGAGACTGCTTTTTGTTACCAAGACCTGTCTAATGTCTTTCCGTTGACGGTTGAAGAAATAACATAATATAAAAGTAAGCCTATAATGAAATTGGTAAATAGCTTGGATTCATTTATTGATTTCTTCGTTTATTCGTTCTTTCAATTATTTATTCCTTCATTTATTCATTTATTTATTCATTCGTTTATTTATTTATTTATTTCTTCCCAGATGATGATGGAGACGGTGCGATTGATGAAGATCTTGCCCTGCCACCAAGAGGTAAAATGTTTGTACTCTATTGTTGTCATTAAAAGCAGCATCTTTGGCTGATAAGTGGATAGAATGCCTTGGGATAGAGGTGCTGAATAACACAGGTGTAAAATTTTAAAAGGGTGTGTTCTTGTTCTGAAAAGAGCCAAAAAATATAAATACAAGACTTGCAACACCACAGCATTATTCCAACCCTTCTTTTTCTTTGGCATTTCAGCATCATACCGTTATTTCTACTTTAATTACACCCCTAATAAAAATCGTCGGGATCTTTATAAATCATACAATCTTATACATTATGTATTTAAACATATCGGTTTTTATTCAAATTTTGATGATGTCCAATACCTATGTTTCAAGAGATAAAAATATTCATCACTCTTCGTGCTTTTCAAACGTGTGTCTATCTTGATCTTCTTTTACATTTTGGCGAGGAAGACAAAGAATTAAATTTCAAGTTCTTCACATCTATTGACCGTAATGACCAACTAATTGGAGCAAACATTTACCACCATATTCATAGGTAGACCTGTTTATTGACATATTAATTACTATATTGATAGTAGTAATAGTAGTAGTAGTAGTAGTAGTAGTAGTAGTAGTAGTAGTAGTAGTAGTAGTA